TTTGGGTGTACTATTCCTTTAATGGCCTTGCTGCATTTTTTTCTAGATCACTTCGGCGCACGCAACTACTGGACGAAATCTGCCAGCGACGTCTCCCTCGTGTGGCACCAACACGGTGGCAGTACGCATCCAGAGTGGTCAATACAGTCTTTGAGAAGAGAGATGCTCTAAGGCAGTGGTTCCCAAAGTGTGGGGCGCGCCCCCTAGGGGGGGCGCAATGCCATTGCAGGGGGGGCGCGGGAAGCGGTATGAGTGAAGGAAAAAAAACAAAACAAAAAAAACAAAAAAAAAACAGTGCTTGCTTGACTGAGCATAATGGACAGTTGTGACACTGCAACCCAGATTTGAGAAGATCTACAGCAAAAAGCAGGCTCACTACAGCCACTGAAAAGATGGGAGGATTAAAGTACAAAGAAAAAACTCTCAGGGAGCTGTTCAATGTTTTCACTCCATTTTGCACAGAGGCTTTTTTAATGTATAGATTATAGCAAAGTTAAATATTGTTACAAATAAAAAAAAAAGAAATATGTTTAAAATAACACAGACAACAAAGAATCCTCTTCTAATCTACAGTATAGAACTATGAAAAAAATACTGTTACACAAAAGTGTTCCACTGTAAAGATGGTGTATCGTTTGTTTTGTTGCAACCTGAAGTGTGAAATAAACTTCAGTGGAGTTTGAAAACAAAATATGTGTATATATTTATTATATCTGTTTTTTTTTTTTTTTTTTTTTTTTTTTTTGGAGGGGGTCGGGGGGTTATGGGGGGGGCGTGGACATTTTATTGTAATCCAAAGGGGGGCCCAGAAGAAAATCTTTGGGAACCACTGCTCTAAGGAATTGTTTCATCACATTCTGGAGCATCATGACGAGTATGATGAGGACTCTGTGCCCTGTGCTAATGGATTTAAAGCACGTCTGGATGATTTTGAGTTTTGTTTTTTGCTTCACACATTTAATGGCATTTTTGAGTACGCAGATGTGCTCTTTTCAATACTACAGGACACAAAACTGGATGTACAGTTTTGTCTGGCAAGAGTAAAGGAGTTTTGTGACACCGTTGAGCGAGAGAGGAGCCGATACAAGGAAATCTACGAGGCCACTGAACGCACCGCGGGCGCTCCGAGTGCACGAAGAGGTCCAGCGCAAGATCCATCCTCGTGCGCACTTCCACCAACTCCACGGTAGGATTATGGACAATATTATTTGCCAGACACAGACCAGATTTGAAGACCACGAAAAACTGATCTTTGTCAGCCTCCTCGACCCCCACAAGTTTCAGGAATACCAGAAAAATTTTCCTCATGCAGCCTTTTCCAGCTTAGCACAGAGTCATGGGACACTTTTCGATCTACCTCGGCTAAGAACAGAACTAACTGTAATGTATGTCATGGATGATTTTGCAGGTAAATCTCCCACTGATCTCCTTGACTTCCTTCAGCAGAAAAATCTCAATGAGAGCATGAGGCAGCTATACACGTTTGTGTGTTTGGCGGTGACCATGCCCGTGTCTACTGCTTCTGTTGAACGGACATTTTCAGCCCTTAAGCGAAATTAAAACTTATGCCAGAAATACGACAGGGCAGGCTCAACTTTCAGCTTTAGCTTTGATGGCGATAGAAAAGGCTTTCTTGATGGAAGTGAAACGCACGGATAATCTGCACAACAGAGTTATTGAAATCTTCTTGAGGAAAGAAAGGAGGATGGATTTTGTGTACAAACAATCAGGATTTTTGGTGAGTAAAATGTTACTATATTTCTAATTAATATTGCAATTTTATCAGGTTATTTTTTTAATTTTTTTTTTATGTGTGTCGCAGCTGTACCTTCAGTAGAAGTTGTATAACCATAAAATAGTTATTGAGGGTTGGATTGAGTCAGACATCGCTCTACCGAAGGCCTAGGTGTGAAATGCACGGCAAGCCACTAACTGCGTGTAGTATTCTTTAAATCTGGAATTAATCCCCAGAGGGTCAGTGATGCTAACTCCATGTTCAACCTTGATTGAAAGAATGGTTTGATCGGCACGCTGTTGACGTAATTGGTGCGCCAGCATTTTCCCTATTTTTTCACCATGTTCATACGTTTTGTGTACTCATTTATTCAAAAGGTTATCCGTCTGTTGTGTTGTCAATAAATTAAAGGAATAGTACACCCAAAACATGATTAGCCTTCATTTTCTACTCACCCCCATGCTGAACAACACTCTGGAGTACTTTTTTGGAGTACTTACAAACCCAGATCCTCTGAATTTGGATTCCCAACGGACCTCATGAACTGCAAACCTGTTTACATTTTTTTATTAGTTTTTTCCTTTTGAATTATCCTGTTGGAATATTTTTTTTTTCTCCTTTGAAATTATATTGATCTAAGGCAGGGGTGTGCAATTCCAGTTCCTGGGGGCCGGTATCCTGCAACTTTTACATCCATCCTTTGTCCAACACACCTGAATCAAATGGCTGAGTTACCTCCTCAGTATGCAGTCGGTTGCTGCAGAGTCCTCCCAATTATCTGAGTACTTGATTCAGGTGTGTTGAACCAAAGGCACATCTAAAACATGCAGGATACCGGCCCCCAGGAACTGGAATTGCCCACCCCAAGGTGTGTGTGTGTATATTATATCAATTCATATCCATATAAATCATATAATATAGCTCAATAACATGTTAATGTAACCAATAATCTTTCTATTAGAACAATAAATAAATATAAAACTATTAATCATAATTTTTTTTGTTGTGCTTTATTCACACCCCTTGACTCTGTGGCCGATGTACTTCTGAGCTCATTTAGCAGTCAGTGAAGCCCTAGCGTTACAGTGTCATCCCAATTTGGGGCGTATATATTTGCAAGGATGACAGGTAAATAATTTAAAGTTCCCACTACAATTATAAATCGGCCAGCTGAATCAGCTTCTATTTTTGTAGCCGTAAAAGAAATAGATTTTTTCACAAGAATGGCTGTGCCTCTGGATTTCGAATGGAAATTTGAGTGAAACATCTGACCTATCCACCCTCCTCTGAGTTTAGAATGGTCAAATGTGTTTAAATGTGTCTCTTGAAGAAAAGCGATGTCTACATCCATCTGTTTTAGATGTGAAAGCACCTTTCTCCGTTTTACTGAATTGTTCAAAGATTTTATGTTCCAACTAACTAAATTAACTTTGGTCTGGCAAGTACTTCTATTGACATTCAGTAACTGACTACCAATGTGGCTTGTGATAAAAGATTGAGTATTGAGTATTTGTTTTGATGTCTAATCAACACATATAAAAGTGCAAATCCCATCACTATTCTATACACACACACAGAGAAGAACAGTAAAACTACTTTTGGTGCAACAGGTATCCAACCCCAACAATCACCCACCTGAACATGGTGATCAAAACCTTCCCCTTTACAACAAAATCCAAACATTATGTGTTTATAAGAGCTCTAGCGTAGCAGCCCGCTCTGCATTTAAAAAAGTAGAAAATAAAAAAATTAAATATAAATGATAAAAAAGCTGTTTCAAAAAGTATGTAATATTTAACGTAATGACATTTATATTATGCCCGTTTGTTAACAGAGCAATCATATGTAACATAAACAAAAAACCTTAACAAGGTGAGTTTGACACATCTGTATCAATATTCTTACAATAACATAACTCCTGCTTTCAGGGGGAATCTTTCAAAATGTATATCAGGATTGTCAGTTATTTACTTTTTTCACTTTACAGGTTGAAAATAAAAGGGGCATAGGTGATAAGAGTGAGCCTCCTCATGGGATGTTATTTTTAACATACTTAATGGCCTCCGTAGCATCCCGAAAGCGCTTGTCGGTGCCGTCGTGAGTGATCCGTAGTATGGCTGGGCGTAGTAGTCCGTAGCGCACGTTTTCCTTCCCCCGCAGTAGCTTCCTGACCTCACTGAAAGCCGATCTTGCTTGTGCTACACTTGGTGGATAGTCAGGGAAGATGGAAACAGCAGTAACATTGTAGTGAAGCGGAGCAGCATCATGGGCACGGCGAAGAATGTCAACACAATCTTGATAGTAGTGCAGCTTCACTTATTATCGGTCTCGGTCTGCCCCCCATGCGACTCGCCGGTTAAGTGCGATGCGATCGGTCAATGATCACCTCTTTATCCAATTTTAAAATCTGTCGAAGCAGCCTCGACATTGACATTGGGGTGCTAGAGGTTTCCTCCGGGATGTTCAAAATGCGGATGTTGGACCTCCGCATTCGCCCCTCCATGTCCACGCATTTATCCTGTAGGAACACCACTTTCTTCTCTAACTGTTGTATGGAGTTTTGCAGAGTCGTGATATCATCTGAGGACCCGGAGAGCCCCTGTTCCCTGTCAGACACCGTGGTTTTCATAGTAGCTAGCTCAGCTCGAAATGCCGCAGTACAGCTAGCAATCTCCGATCGAACTGTTAGCATTAGCTCATCTTTAATCCCTCCAAACTCCTTAGCTATTACCGTTGCAAGCTCATTTTGGAAGAGTGTAGTCATTTCGGTCTTGATAGAAGATAGAATCTCAGTCTTTAGGTCTGTCGGGGCTGATTCAGGTCTCTCCGTTGGTCCCTTGTTCCGCTCCTCAATGAATTGCTTCAGCCCTATAAAAGTCCCTAAAGTGTTGTAAGAAGTTGCAAAGTTGGCAACAGCACAAGCAAAAACTTTTTGGGAAACAATTGGTCACTGAAGTAGAAAACCTTTCAGAAAAACCTGTCAAAAGAAGAAAATACTGCCAGGCACGACCCAACTACCGTCCTAGTTCTTGGTGGTGTAGAACAAGAAAAACTAATAAAGATCACACACGACAGGAACAAACACACAAATAATAGCCAATATTTCAAGTGGCGAATGATTCAATTCTGCATCTTCCTGGACTGTTTATGACCTATCGCCTATCACCAGAAACCCAAACAATTCCCTGCTTTTGCTGAAACACACCAGTAATGTCTGCAGATAAAAAAAAAAAAAAAACTAGAACATCCATATTCCAACTTTTACCTGAACCAGCCAAATGCCATCTTTAGTGTCCTCCACTAATTCATAGAAGTGCATCTCCCCACTGAAGGCTGTAGTACTGGAGTCTCCAGCTTCTGTCTGCTCCCTCTCTTTCTTGATGGCCGAGTACAGCTCACCTTGAGTCAGTTCACCTAGACAGGGGAATAAAAATCAGAAAATTCAGATGATAAACTCTAATTGTTCTATAATTACTAAAACATAAGAACATTAAAAGGTGATCATTTCAGCAGATTGTAGCACAAAAAGTTTGAGAAACTTTGCCTAATCTCATCCAGCACCACCACGCCTTGAGATCACAGGAAACGCATGCATTGCTGTTCCTCCATCTGCTATAAGGATGTTTTTATTTGCTGAGAAAGGTTTTATTTTTGTTAAAACTGATACTTGTGTGGAAATTTTGTATCATTGTGTCACTTTAAATATATTTTTGTGTCAATGTAAATGAGGGAAGTGAAGGCAATATTGGCTCTAAATGTATCAGCAGCACATATCGAGGATCGGATTATGGCCATAATTAAACATAGATAAATGCTCCAAAATAATAAAGCATACAATTAATTGCCCCCCCAAAATACAATGAACAAATAAATGTAGATAGAAATAAAATTCTACAGTGATACATAAATATATATACCGGTACATCTCTTTGATTTAGCTTTTTTTGTTTTTTTTTGCCTTTGTAATATTTACCTTATTTATGTATTGTCCCTTATAATCTTCAACTTTATTAATGTATTACTTACACTATATTGCCAAAAGTATTTGCTCACCTGCCTTGACTCACATATGAGCTTAAGTGACATCCCGTTCCTAATCCATAGGGTTCAATATGACGTCGGTCCACCCTTTGCAGCTAGAACAGCTTCAACTCTTCTGGGAAGGCTGTCCACAAGGTTTAGGAGTGTGTTTATGGGAATTTTTGACCATTCTTCCAGAAGCGCATTTGTGAGGTCGCACACTGATGTTGGACGAGAAGGCCTGGCTCTCAGTCTCCGCTCTAATTCATCCCAAAGGTGTTCTATCGGGTTGAGGTCAGGACTCTGTGCAGGCCAGTCAAGTTCATCCACACCAGACTCTGTCATCCATGTCTTTATGGACCTTGCTTTGTGCACTGGTGCACAGTCATGTTGGAAGAGGAAGGGGCCAGCTCCAAACTGTTCCCACAAAGTTGGGAGCATGGAATTGTCCAAAATGTCTTGGTATGCTGAAGCATTCAGAGTTCCTTTCACTGGAACTAAGGGGCCAAGCCCAGCTCCTGAAAAACAACCCCACACCATAATCCCCCCTCCACCAAACTTTACACTTGGCACAATGCAGTCAGACAAGTACCGTTCTCCTGGCAACCGCCAAACCCAGACCCGTCCATCAGATTGCCAGATGGAGAAGCGCGATTCGTCACTCCAGAGAACGCGTCTCCACTGCTCTAGAGTCCAGTGGCGGCGTGCTTTACACCACCGCATCCGACGCTTTGCATTGCACTTGGTGATGTATGGCTTGGATGCAGCTGCTCGCCCATGGAAACCCATTCCATGAAGCTCTCTGCGCACTGTTCTTGAGCTAATCTGAAGGCCACATGAAGTTTGGAGGTCTGTAGTGATTGACTCTGCAGAAAGTTGGCGACCTCTTCGCACTATGCGCGTCAGCATCCGCTGACCCCGCTCCGTCAGTTTACGTGGCCTACCACTTCGTGGCTGAGTTGCTGTCGTTCCCAAACACTTCCATTTTCTTATAATACAGCTGACAGTTGACTGTGGAATATTTAGGAGCGAGGAAATTTCACGACTGGATTTGTTGCACAGGTGGCATCCTATCACAGTTCCACGCTGGAATTCACTGAGCTCCTGAGAGCGACCCATTCTTTCACAAATGTTTGTAAAAACAGTCTGCATGCCTAGGTGCTTGAATTTATACACCTGTGGCCATGGAAGTGATTGGAACACCTGATTCCAATAATTTGGATGGGTGAGCAAATACTTTTGGCAATATAGTGTATTTCTTTAAATGTTTATCTAACAATTTACAAATATTCCCAAAAAGTAAAAAACAAACCACTGAACTTTGTTTTCCAAGTCTGAAGACATTTTGCTTCCCATCCAGAAAGCTTATTTTGAAATGAGAAAGGGATGGGAAGCAAAACGTCTTCAAACTTGGAAAACAATGTCCAGTGGGTTGTTTTTAACTTTTGTTGAAATGACAGTGACCTGGACAGTGTTGTTTTCGTCAACAATGAAGATGACGAAATCATTTCATTGATGCTCTTTTTTTTTCATAACATTAAAGAAAAACTGACAAGCTAAACATGGATATTTGATGAGTAAAACATGACTAGTCATAGGTTTCAGTTTTAGTCAACGAGACGAGACTAAATAAAAAAGTAGGAGGTCATCGGTGAGATGTTTATACTGCATCATCGTGCTGTAATCAGCTAAGCAATATAAGCCGTGCTGCTGTGTCTTCATTAATCCTGCCCCCCCAACTGCCGTGCAGCGTAGTGTTAATTTCATTAACGAAAACTAAACAAATATTTTCATCAACGCACATTTTTCACTGAACTAAAACTAGACGAGACGAGACTAAGATCCCTAATAATAAACAATAACTGGGAGTAAATCAGAAATAATTTTCGTAGACTAATAAAGACGAGACGAAAATCCAGTTCGGTAAATAAAGACTAGGCTAAAATCTATGGACATTTTAGTTCACAAACAAAGACGAGACGAAAATTACATATTATTATATGATATGGTTATGTCGAATCCTGTCTCCGCCTCCTCCTCGTCAGCTCTTCCGCCACACACCCACTTTCAAACCTGGAGCGGGCGGCACAGAGTAGCCTACACAACACATGGAGCAGACTGGAGCTGGATTCAAGGTGAGGCGGCGACAGGTTAAAAGTAAAACATGCTTTGCACGGGGCTCGGGAGAAAGAGGAGATGTGATATATGGACACATTTTCGCTTCATTGAAGTGGAGAACAAAACCAAATGCTTGATTTTAGTCGAAGGGAAGGAATGTGGCCACATGGTATCTGGACAAAACACAACAAACCTGAAGAGAACCGTCGCAGTTCACCAGAAAGACATTACGGTAAGTTAACAGAAATATTTGGTGGTGGTTGTTTGTAATGTAACATTAAATCAACGGCTATAATGTCCCAATGATAAACTTACTAATGTTGGCTAACTTTCATAGCATTTAGTATCCAAGCTGGCTACGTTACGCTAGCTTCGTAGCACGTAGCGACCGTAGCCACTTGTTGATAGAATTGTATGTGAAGTTAAATTTGTGCTAACTTAGATATGTTATACTGGCCGGGCAACTATAGTTTCAGTTAAATTGCAAGTTTGATTAAAGCAGACAGACGCTTTATGTAATCTAGGAGCTGCAAGTGAACTATAGTTAACACAAAACACCTCGGCAGCTACACATGTATGCTAAATGCTAAAACCAACTGAAACTATTTATCAGGATAAGACAAAATAAAAATAATACGCCTCACATAATTCAGAACAACTTTTACCCAGATTTTCATACACAAAATAGCCATTGCTAGGGGAAACACTGCAGGGATTGGGATGCAAACTCCCAATGTCTTTATTTGGTGACATAAATGCTGCTCTGTTTATCTGCACATTACTATAACAAGGACATTTGATTTGAATTGGCATCAATATTAATACAACCAAAATGCATGCATACATAAAAATGTCTGCAATTTATTCCTGCATAAAATGATAGTTAGGTTGTTTGTATGAGTTTGAAATGGATTGTCAAATGTAGTTTTTACAGAGACTTAGTTTTTGTTAAGGAAAAAACAGACCTATATGCTACTTATACACTTGGAATTCCTGTTATGCTGTGCATCTATCCTGACATTTTATTAATTTCTGTTCCAGATTGAAGATACACCACCAACAACAACCTACCAGCCACCCAGAAACAATGACAGGCCAGCTATACAAGCTTCCTTTATTGCCCACACCAAATACAAAGCTGACTCTCAGGACTAGCAAGCTAAACCTTATGGTTTATATACCATGTGAACTAGCTTGTAGGAAAGCAATTTTGTTGTATCAGTTGGAGTTTTTTTTCCCACAACATTGACCTCAAATCTGTTTATTTTATTATTCTATGTGAACTAGCTTTAAACAGCCAGCACTTGTGTTAAGTTCATAAGACACTTTATTTTATTTATCTGTTTCCTTTGTCAGGTGTTTTTTATTTGTTTTAATGCAAGCATTTGTGTTTGTGTCTTTGAACCTTAACAATGTTCAAAATAAATATGCAAATATTGTCAGAACACCTTCCATGTCTGCATGTGTTCCTTAACCCTTTCATGCATAGTGGTCACTACAGTGGACAGTTATTAAATGGTTGTTTTCTCTTAAATGAACATGTTTTAATGTCACATTTGCACATATGTTACTACAGTGGACGCTAATGTATCATCCTGCCACTTGTCAAACTGCCACCTACTCCTCAGCCTTTGCAAGTGACTTTTTTTTCCTCAAAAAAAACAAAATGGCTGACAGAGGAGCACATGGGTTGTGAGGGAGAGGAATATCTGCTCATTCCTTCTATTCTAGGCGATCCTTGCAGGTAAAAAAAATATGGGGCCATCAAGTAACAATAGTTTTCTTTAAAACAAAACAAAACAAGGTTATATCAGTTGCACAAATGCGCATTGTCCACCCAAGTGGACATGTTACCAACTCCCTAAAGAAAGTATATTTTTAAAAAAAATTTATGAAAATGTTTTTTTCATTCATAAAGAGTAATAAAAACACTTGGTAAAAAAATCATAACATATACTATCGTAATTCATGCATGAAAGGGTTAAAATTATGTTTTTTATCAAAAAGATTAGATAAAATGTTGAAATGTGAAATCATTTTAGTAAATGTTAAATATTATCTGCTGACAAAAAAGGTTAAAATGATGTCCTGACTAAAACTAGACTAAAATGTTGACAGTTTTTGTTGACTAAAACTAAACAAATAAAATTATGTTTTCTTGGACTAAAATAAAGACTAAAATGCTCGACTTATAGTCGACTAAAATTAGACAAAATAAAAATAGGATGATGTCGACTAAATGTGATAAAAACTAACAAGCGATGCTGAAACTGGAC